GTCCATCACGTAACCTGACGGTAACATAAAAGCCTTTTCATCTCGCAGCAACATGACTCATCCGAACTCTCCAATCAAAAATAAAAAAACGCAGGTTTGGGGACATTTTCTTTTCCCACTCAGCTAATTTCCATGTCTGTGCCAAGTCCCCAGAGAATGAGCTGCATGACTGGCTGCATTTATCACAAACACTTCTCCGTCTGCGTCCTCATCGCTGCAACTTAAACCTCTTTAGACTGTGTTTCTTCTTTAAGATGAGTCCTCAGCTGTGATTCTCTCTCACTCAGTCTGGTTTGGTGATTGGTTTTTAAACTATAGTGCTGCCAGCTGTGCAGAGTTCACGGTTAGTGTTTGTGTTTCTGCTTTTACCGTTTTATGACAAACTTCAACTCTTGACAAACAACCTTTAAAAGCCCCTTGTTTTCTTGCAAAATCAGGAAATGTTGGGTTTTAATCAGCAGTGACTTAAAAGTACTGAGAGCAGCATTTCTTTATTGCATGTTAGTGCATGTGCCCTCAGGTCCCTCCTCTGCACTGTTAGCGCTGTTTGCGCTGTTAGCTGGCAGCTCCTGTTGAGAGGCCACAGAAATGCTAGCTGTCTCGCATCATGCACCTTTAATGCGTCGTGGAATGATCTGATGACAACATGTGTGTACAGAGCTAGAGACAAGTTGTGGTTAGCCTAGCTTAGCATAAAGACAGTGAATTTGTCATTTTAAAATGGCGCTCTTCAGATCAGAGCTTGTGTGCTTGTAACACCCTTGTTCCCTTTTTCCCTTCTTCTTCATGGCTTCCTCTCCCCAACCAGCAGATGACTGCCAGCAGTAAAAGTAGAGTGTGTGTGTGTGTGTGTGTGTGTGTGAGAGTGTGTGTTATGTAAAGCTGCTATTGGATTAGCATGAAAGAGTGTGGTTTCTGTGCTGCGGGCACACTGAGATTAAGACTTTATCCTCCGCAGTTTTCGCATCACTGACCCGGCCTGTTAGGAGAGAGAGAGAGAGAGAGAGAGACTGGAGAGGTGTCTTGATGGTGCAAGCAGCGCTTTTCCAGTGTTGCAGGAACATCAAGTGTATAAAGAGAGAGAGATGAGGAACAATGGTTTGCTCGTTTGTTTGTGTTTTGTCTGTTTTTAATTCAAAACATAAACAACTTAATGAACATAAAACAATACAATGCTTTGTAGACAATTTGTAGATTTCACCATTTTAAAGTTAAAAGATGAACCGCTCGATGTGTTAAAACTCTGTTGCATCATGTGGAGCTCACGCTACGACTTTCTGTCTGTTTGTAGTTTCATTCAGATCTGAATCCAGACGCAGAATGAATTTAGATGCTTCTGCACACTCGGTACAGGTTAGTGTGTTAATGACCCGCTGGAAACATGTAACGATAAACACTAGAAGCAACGGGACAAACATATGAAAGAAATGTGTCGCTGTTCTTTCTGTTCTGCTGACACACAATAAGAAAACATCGAGCTTTATTCATCCGGAGGGAAAGAAAGGTGCAACACAGCGTGATAATAAAACACACATCCCATCGTCGACTCTTCACTTCATGCACCAACCTGTCCATGAGCACAGATATCACATGCTCTCACACACATCTCTGTAACTGCTCCATGTTGTAGTCTGAATGTCCGTCCGTTACGTCTGGTGTTTATCTTCTGTTTGTCCCATTAACAGCCTCCATTCACACTCCACCACTCCAGCGTTGTGTTACATGAGATGTTCGCTAAACACTGTTCATGTCACAGCGAGGACGTCTCACTTTGTCCTCTGGTGGTACGTCTCAGACCTGTTCAGACCGGGTCTCTGATTGGTCGAGGAGCCGCTGCGTCAACGTCGAGCGGTTTTTTGTTTTTCCTGTCAGGATGACGAGGATGTTCGCCGACTGACAGCGAAGACGAGGAGAGGAAGGAGCCGACTGCTGTAGTTTTAGTGGAGCCCAGAGATCAACTCCCTCATTAGCATACTGCTGCCATAGCAACAGGAAAACCAAACCGGAGCATGAGAGAGGGATGGAGGGAGAGGAAGGAGGAGAGGAAAGAGGGGAAAGTCAAGAGAGGAGGAGAGGGGAAGGACTGGAGGAGAAAGGGAAATTAGGATAAAGGAAGAGAGGAGGTGAAGACGGCGGAAGGGAGGAAAAGAGAGAGAGAGTGGAGGTGGAGAAGGAAGAGGAGGATGAGTGGACGCAAGGGGGGAGAATAAACGGACAGGAGAAAAAAGAGGAGGAGGAGATGGAGTGGGAAGGAGAAGAGGAGGAGCACTGAGGATGAAGAGCGGAAGAAAAAGAAAGGGGGATTGGAGGCTGGAACGAGAGGAAGAGGAGGAGAAGGAGCAGGAATAGGGAGCAGCCACCTTGGTTTGACTTCCAGCACTTTAACTCCTTCTTCTCTTTTCTCCTTTTATTCCTGATTCAATCGTGTCATCTATATAATTAAATCCTCTTGTTATCCAATATCCTCACACACACACACACACACACACACACACAGACACACACACACAACCAGATAAGAGGTTGAACAACTGGCTCTGAAGCTGGTGTGTGTGTGTGTGTGTGTGTGTGTGTGTGTGTGTGTGTGTGTGTGTGTGTGTGTGTGTGTGTGCGCGCGTGTGTGTGTGTGTGTGTGTGAGTGAGTGTGTGTTATGTAATCTCCGTTGTAGTTCACTCTGGTTGTTATCGGAGGTGTAAGGCGACGTAAGATGATTAAACTGAGAGTAGAAACACTCCTGTGCTAAAAACAGATAAAAACACTACATCTCATTTATTGTTTCACACACACACACACACTCACACACACACACACACACACAGTTTTGCAGACTCATCTCACACATGTGTAATGCAATAAACCTGCAACATCACAGTTACCACACAGTGTGTCGCCACCTTTAGTCCGTACCTCTATGAAACCTCTCCTGTCCCGCTCAAATTAATCAGTAATTATTCTTATATTTTAGTTTTTAACTTATTTATCGTGCAGATTACCGTTGATTATCATAAGGAAATTACTTAAATAGCATTCATTCATATGGGAATGAGTCTGTTCTAAGCTGTTTCCACTGTACGTCCACATAGTTTCAGCACCATGGACAGCTCTTTGGGTTCTTTCATTGGCAGATGAATGTAGCGTTCCCATCACCAGCTTCATCGCTCCGAGTTGTGCCGCCTCTAATCGGGTTGTTTTCCAGCAACACGTGTCAATTCATGCTTGTTACCTGCATACAGTCTTTTCAAAATAAACTTCTGTCTTCACAGGAAAACAACTCGGTAAAGTTTAGACAACAAAACCTTTTACTTAGATTTAGGAAACGATCGTGGTTTGGGTCAAAATAAGCACAGAAGGTGGTGTTCATTTCACATTCGCCACGAACAACGGTCTCCTGGGTGAGAGGCCGGGCTCTGAATGATACATGAACAAACAAACCCCGAAACCTTCAGCACACAGAGAGGAATGACTGTAAAGCTTGGTGTATGTAAGAGCTGCTGGAGTGGAGGTTTCTGATTCAGAGTCTGAGAAAAAACTATCTTTTAAGATATGTTTTGTAGAATTCCGGCTGATTTCATCCAACGTTCGTTAGAAGCCGTGATGGTAAAAACAGAAATCAGAGTTCCAGTCCCACTCAGAGAGCTGAGACATCAGTCATGTACCGTCCAAAATAAAAATGTGCCAGGATCAATTATTTATGAAACCAGCCCACACTTGTAAGAAAACAAGGAAGTGTTGAAATGTGCAGCCGCCACCAAATGTTCCCGTCTCAGAAAAGCAGCCGAGCGCCGCGTTTGATTGACGTCTTCAGGTGCTGAACCGAGTGTTTCTGGCAGCTCGTCTCTTTTAGCTTTTAGCCAAATCTTCACGTCCTTGTGTGGACGTGCAAAAAGCATAACTGAGCTGGATTTTTATTTATTAATTTATTTAACAGGCTATTTGTTTGATAGGAAAACACACTTTTTCATATTCTCTCTCACACAGAGTGATAGATAACCTGCTGTCTCCTCAAGTCCTTAAGACCTAAAGAGAGATGAAGTGGTCGAGAGCAGCAGCAGAGAGGGAGTTAAGACAATGGGAAGAGGAGCTGGAGACGGAGAGGAGGACTCAGCTTGTTGGTGACTCAGAGGGCGGCTGGAGGGCTGACGGGGGACAAACAGCCGCCGGTGTGATGCCAGCAGTATCGGAGGAGGAGCTGTAATGAGATGTAAATGGAGGCAAACCTGCAGCTCCTCTTCTGTTCGGGGCGGGAGGTGCTGTGACCTTTTGGTACCGAGCAAATCTACTCCAGATGTACCTGTTTCAGGCTGATAGCTGTGTGTTTATCACAGAGATACACGGATCTTCTCCTTTCTTACACTGTTGTTTTTTTGCATCTGAGGAGGACGGTTTCCTCTCAGACTAATAAAATAAAACACTTTCCTCCTGATTTTCTTATCTTCTTATTAGCGTTATCTAGTTTATTATGTAAATCAGCAACATGAAGAGGTTTGTGCTTCTGAATCCAGGCCTCTCACATCCACACCAAACATTTTCAGATGCAAAACGTTTATTTCATGTTGCACAAGGTGAAGCATACGAAAGTTCAACTCACAGTTCCACTGTTTTTAATGACGTGTGCAGCTTCTATCAGACGAACACCGACGACCCGCCGGGCTGCACGCAACAACATGAAATAAAGACGGTGTGTGTTGTGAAGGTCGCTCAGTCTCCTATCAGCAGCGCTGCTGCCTCTGAATGATGTACGAGTCGCTTACAGACGCTTTCATCGAGGCAGGAAGTAAACAAAGAGCTAATCGTTCAAGACTCCCAAAGTCACTTTTTAGTTGCTCATTTGTTCCCCTCTGACAACGATGTTCCCTTCTTTATATCCACTCAAAGTGTGTTTCCTAACTCACTCTCTCTCTCTCTCTCTCTCTCTCTCTCTCTCTCTCTCTCTCTCTC